TTCCCTATTTGCATTAACATTCACTGGTCCTAAATTAAAATGTTTCTATACTTATAGCAGGGAATAAAATACAAAGAAATGTCTTTCAAGGTTGTATTTATACAACACAAAAGAAAATGCAAATCTGTCAAATAACTGATTTTTAAAAAAAAAAATCAATGTGAATAAACAAGTAGATGAAAGTATTCTTAAAAACTTAACTGGCTAACTAACAATACTTATTTCACTTGTGCTCTGAAGACAGAGCCAAGCTCTGCCAAAAAAAAAAAAAAAAGAAAGAAAGAAAGAAAAAGCTCCTTAAGAAAAAATTGAAATTAGTCCATTTCCTTTAATTTTATTAGATTAAAAATTTATTTCCTGTAATTAGTATTTGGGCACATAAAAACTACAGTGATATTCTAATAAATATAATACTTCTTTAGCTACTCATATGTTTAGTTTTAAAATACTGTATAAAGGCCTCTTAAGATATCACCATAACTTGGTTTGAAACATTTTTTTCTGCATTTTATGCTGTAAGTAGAGAATTCTCACTCAGAAAAAGGGTAGCATGTCCATGAAGTAACTGAAGAGTAACAGGTGATTATATGTAAGTTATTCTAAATTGACTTTAATTCTATTATTTAGTTATTACATATAAAATGCAATATACAAACAAACCACTTTGTTTTCATAAAATAACATACAATTTCAGGTGATTCTTACATGCACTGTTGAATAATTTCTATTTGCTTTCTCACCATTAAGGACTAACCATTGATTTTAGGGGTCCTACAGTAAATTGCTAAACTAACATAAACCACACTTTTGTAGTGAAGGTAAGAGACTTTGAAGACCCCAATAATAAATTTGTAAAACATGTAAAGAAAGTACAAACCAGTTGATTTATAATTAGTTTTTTTTTAATTTTATATAATATAAAGAAAGTACGTAAAGGTGAAAAAAGTATGAATTTTCCTTTGATATAGAAACAAGCACAATTCTTGATAATACTTAAAATGCTACTTGTGACTTTTATAATTTTATGAATTTATATTTATGTCATAACTAAAAATAATTACAGTGACTCCACAATAAGCTATTTCACACAAAGGTCTTCATGACTGATAAATATAACTATCAGGGGCATTTTAAAAGGGAATCGTTTACTAGCATGTTAAAAAAAAAAAAATTAAAAATAGGTCCAGGAAGTTTCCATCTTGGACCAAGGATAGAGAGAGGGAGATCAGGATTTATTCAGCAAGAAGCCCACATCCCTAAGCAAAGATGACGAAGCTAAGGCTACACAGGCTAGATGCCTAAAGATGAAGGAGGACTGCATGATACAGCTTGAAGCTTATATCCACATCCAAGGAAGGAGACCAGGGTTCATACAACCAGAAAGGTCATATGCAGGATATTTATATATATAGCCTAGAGAAGGAATTTGGCCATTCATACATTGCTGGTGGGAAGGTAAAATGACAAAACCACTGTGGAAAAGTCTGGGCATTTCTGAAAGCACTAATTTTGCAAACATTATACAACCCAGCAATCGTAGTTCTAGGCTTATCCCAGAGAAATGAAAACCTAAGTTCTCGTTTCTAGTACAAAAACCTGTACTAGAATGTTCACAGCAGCATGATCTGTAATAGACAAAAACTGGAGACAACTCCAACAACCTTTTAAAGAGAAAATGGCTAAAGTGATTGTGGTACATCCACACCACAGAATAGTACTCAGCAAATAGAAAAGGGAACAGAGTATTGACACATTTGTGCCACTGGAAAATTCACTTCATAATGCAGGAAACAGGCAGTTAGAGCTTATAAAGTGGGCATGTTAGATAAATCCCCACAGACCTGTGTGAATCTCGAGAGAATGATGCCGAGGGAGAAAATTCAATTCCCCCAAGGTTATATACTGTGCAATTTTCATTTATACAGAATTCCCAAAATGGCAGAACTCTAAAAAAGGGGAGCAGTTTGGCAGCTGCCAGGCATTAGGGGAATGGGGCAGGAGGGAGGTGCTGCCCTGAGGAAAGAGAAACGGGAGAGATCCTTGCCAGTGAGGAAAGGCATGTATATTGAATATATCGAGGTTCACATCCTGGTTGTGGCACTATATTATAGTTTTCCAAGATATTATCCATTGGGTAAAGTAGGCACACGGGAATCTCTGTACTGTGTCTTATAAGTGGATGAAAATCCACAATGAGATAGATGATAATAACGTTTAATTAAAAGGAAAAAAAAAATAAGTTGAACCATCTAGTATTTGTACAGGGTCCGAGTACTCTACCAATCACAGCTTGGAAATCCTGGCTCTAGATCAGTCCTCAGTGGGGTTCGCCCCCTGGAAATGGCACCCCTCTCACAGTGGAGTCATTCCTCAAAATCCTCAAGTACAGGAGTGTGCAGGAGGTAGCTCAGAAGAAGCAAGACAGCAATGAAGAAATTCTCAAGCAGAGGCGGGAACGCAAATCGGAAATCAAGAGACATAACAAAGAGAGCCATCCCAGATGCGACAGTGGGCCCATTAGCGAGATAACTGGTAAAACAAAGAGCGGGCAGTGGACTGGATGTGCCCCAAAGTACAAACTAACAGCATTCCAAATCAGAGGAACTTGAAACACGCACATGAACAAATGCAGTGAATGAGAACGATCACTCCACAGCCCAGTGGGGCAGGTTCCCGCTGGGGTTCTGCACCTCCCCTCCGCCAGGTGGAGCTTAGTCCCACACAAGGGCCTCCGCGGTTCAGAGGTCACGCACGTCCTGGGGCAGAGTCAACTTGGCAGAGGAGAGCTCGGTACCCTGCCCGCCGCTCCCCTTCCCTTCCACTCGCCGCGAAGGCCCCGCGCCCGGCAGAACTCCACCCAACCCCACCGCCGCCCGCCCGCTCGCCGCCCTCTTTGCAGTGCGGTTCTGCCCTACCTCTGAGCTCTCTTCCGACCTGCCCTGAGGAAAGGCAAGAGCTAGGCCGTCCCGGTCTTCAGTCACCATGGCCCACCTGCGGGCCTGCGAAGTCCGGCAGCTGCTGCACAACAAGTTCGTGGTCGTCATGGGGGACTCAGTCCAGAGGGTCGTGTACAAGGACTTGGTGCTCCTGCTGCAGAAAGACTGTCTGCTCTCTTCCAGTCAGCTGAAGACCAAGGGTGAGCTGAGTTTCGAGCAGGACGTGCTGCTGGAGGGCGGCAGGCGGGGCCGCATGCACAATGGCACCCACTACCGCGAGGTCCGCCAGTTCTGCTCCGGCCACCACCTGGTGCGCTTCTACTTCCTCACGCGCGTGTACTCTCAGTACGTCGTGGAAGTCCTGGAAGAGCTGCGGCAGGGCGAGCACGCCCCGGACGTGGTCATCATGAACTCCTGCCTGTGGGACCTCTCGAGGTACGGGCAGAACTTCCGGAGGGGCTACCGCGAGAATCTGGAGAGCCTGTTCGGGCTCCTAGACCAGGTGCTGTCCATGTCCTGCCTCCTGGTGTGGAACACGGCCATGCCGGTGGCCGAGGTCGTCTCGGGCGGCTTCCTCCCGACGCAACACCAGCTCCAGGGCGCCCACCTGCGGGAAGACGTGATGGAGGCCAACTTCTACAGCTCAGCTGAGGCCAGCAGACACGGCTTCGATGTGCTGGACCTACATTTCCACTTCCGACATGCCGGGCAGCACCGGCAGCGAGACGGCGTGCACTGGGACGAGCGCGCGCACCGCCATCTCTCCCAGCTGCTGCTGGCGCACGTGGCGGATGCCTGGGGCGTGGACCTCCCCTGCCGCTACCCAGTGGGCAGGTGGATAAGGAATGACCCTACCAGCGGAAGTACGAGCCAGGCGAGCGGGAGGCAGTCCCAGGACCGCAGCGGTGACTCAGGCGAACAAGCTGTAACCTGGCTCCTGCCCACGTCCTCGTGCCTCCGTGCCCCACAGCGATCTTCTACGTCCTTTCCCCAAGCTCAGCCTTTGTTCTCGACATACGGACATGGCACCTGTACCCCATCTTACTCGTCTTTACAACGCTGGCAGCTCTCCAGTGACCTTTCGACACTCCAGGTGGGATATGCTGGAGAAGCAAACTTGAGGATTGCCCCCCAACTGCGTCTGGGCCCCATCCGCAGAGCTTCTACCCAGCAGCAGAGCAGAGGGCCTCCTCCCTACTCTCTCCGGTGCCCCAGCAGGCCACGCAGACGCCGGCGAAGGCGCACAGACAGACAGACCCAAGCACACCCTGAGGCAAGGCCTCAGTAGTCAGACTTAGACCTAGGCTCATTTCCAGAGTGGTCATTAGTCATTAGGTCATTAGGCCTAGTCTTCAGCAACCCTGCTATTGTGAGAGCTCCTTAGGCTTCTTACTCCACCAGTGAACAGCCTCACATTCTTCTTTGCCAGAGCCTCCACCCCACTTCTTGGTGAGGGGCAAGAACCCAGACCACCACACCATTCTCTTAGCATTTGTGCAGAAATGAACTCTAGGTGCAAAATTTTACACATACACACACACACACACACACACACACACACACACGTTAAGTCTTAGCCGAATATAAGCCTTCGAATAATATGCATTTTTCCTAAAAAAAAATAACAATTTAGATCCTTAAAACTTAACACTACGTTTTTATTAAGAGTTCAGTATCGCCATTGGTTTTTAGATACATTTGTGGAGCTTCATCTTCACCATAAGTTGTCTTGCAGCTTTAATTAAATTTATCTGTGCTTCTGCAGAACATTTATCCTTAAAAAAGTTTTCCATTCACTAATGCAAGATTTTTTTGTTAGAAATAGAAATCGCTCTTCTCAGACTCATTAGATGCCTAGCATATTAAAAAAAAAAAAATAGACTTTACTTTTTAGCACAATTTTAGATTCACAGTAAAATTTAGAGGAAAGTAAAGTTCCCATATACTTCCCATACACAAACACCTGAACTATACACATCCCACATGAAGATGGCACATTTGTTACTTGAAACAAAACTATGTTGTTACGTCATTATCACCCAAAGTCCATTTTTACATTAGAGTTCACTGTTGACGTTCCATGTTCTATGGGTTTTGACGGATATATAATGATATATATCCATCATTGTAGTATCATACAGAATAGTTTCACTGCCGTGAAAGTCCTCTGTTCCTCCTCTTTATCCTTCCCCTGCTGAAATCCTGGCAACCACCTATCCGTAACTGTCTCCATAATTTTACCTATTCTACTATTTTAGAATGTTGTGTAGTTAGAATCATACAGTAAGTAGCCTTTTGAGATTGGCTTCTTTCAACTTAATAATGTGCACTTAAGGTTCTTCCATGTCTTCATGGCTTGATAGCTCATTTATTTTTAGTGCTTTTCCCATTGTCTGGATGTACCATTGTTTATCCATTCACCAACTGAAGAATATCTTAGTTGCTTCTGAGTTGTAGCAATTATGAATAAAGTTGCTTTAAACATTCATGTGCAGATTTTTGTGTGAATATAAGTTTTCAACTACTTTGGATAAATACCAAGGAATACAATTGTTGGATTGTATGCTAAGAGTATGTTTAGTTTTATAAGAAACTGCCAAACTGTCTTCCAAAGTGACTACCATTTTTCGTCCCATCAGCAATGAATGAGAGTTCCTGTTGCCATGATTTGGTGTCAGTGTTTTGGATTTTCACCAATCTAATAGGTCCGTGGTGGTATCTCATTATTTCAATCTGCAATTCCCTGATGTCACAGGATATTAAGCATTTTTTTCTATACTTATTTGCCTTCTGTATATCTTCTTTGGAAGCAAGGTGGCTGTTCAGATCTTTTTGCCCATTTTCAATCAATTATTTGTTTTCTTATTGTTGAGTCGTAAGAGTTCTTTGTATATTTTGGATAACAGTATTTTCTCAGCTATGTCCTTTAGAAATATTTTCTCCTAGTCCGTGTCTTGTTTTTTTATTCTCTTGACAATGTCTTTTGCAGAGCAGAAGTTTTTAATTTTAATGAAGTCCAACTTATCAGTAGTTTCCTTCATGAATTGTGCCTTTTGTAGTGTATCTAAAAACTTATCACCAAATCCAAGACCATCTGTGTTATCCTCTATTTTTTATTTTTAGTTTTGTGTTTAACTTTTGGTCCATGATCTATTTTAAGCTAATATTTGTAGAAGGGTGTAAAATCTGACTAGATTCACTTTTTTTTTTTTGCATATGGATGTCCAGGTGTTCTAAAATCGTTTGTTACCTGAAGTCGGATAGTGTCAGTTTTCCAAATTTGTTCTTCTCCTTTAATATTATATTGGCTAGTCTGGTTCTTTTGTCTCTCTATATAAACTTTAGAATCAGCTAGTCAGTATTCACTGGGATTGCACTGAATCTGTAGATGAAGTTGGAAATAATTGACATTTTGACAATATAGAGTCTACCTATCTAAGAACATGGCCCATTATCTCCATTTATTTAGTTCTTTAATTTCTTTCATCAGGATTTTATAATTTTCCTCATACAGATCTTATGTATATTTTATATTTATACCTATTTCATTTGGGAAGGGATGCTAATGTAAATGACATTGTGATTTTTAATTTCAAATTCCAGTTATTCATTGTTGGCGTGTAGAAAAGCAACTGGTTTTTCTAGGTTTACTTACTATCATACAACCTCAATGTACTCGCTTATTAGTTCCAGAAGTATTTTTGTTGATTCTCTCAAATTTTCTAAATAGATAGTCATGTCATCGACTAACAGGTAAATTTTTATTTCTTTTTGCCCAATCCAAATACTTTCTATTTCCTTTTTTTTTTTTTTATCTTAGAGCATTAGCTAGGGCTTCCAGTATATTGTTGAAAAGGAATAATGAGAAGTATAACCTTGCCTTCCTCCTGATCTTAGAAAGCTTATGATTTCTCACCATTTAAGATGTTAACTGTAGGTTTTTGAATATGTTTTTTAATCAAGTCAAGGATATTGCCTTCAATTTCTGGCTTGCTAACTTTTTATCATGAATGGGCTTTGGTATGAACATGTGTTTTTTCTTCTACAGCTTGTTGATGTGACGGATTACATTAATTTGATCTTTGAATGTTGAACCAGCTTTGCATATATAATATAAGTCCTACTTGGCCATGGTGCATAACTTTTTATACATCTTTGGATTCGATTTGCTAATATTCTGTTGAGTATTATTGCATCTATGTTCTTGAAAGTTATTGGTCTGTAAATTTCTTGTGATGTCTTTGGTGTTGGTATTAAGAGTAATGCTGGCCTCACAGAATGAGTTAGGAATTATCCCTCTGCTTTTATCTTCCAGAAGAAATTGTAGAGAATTGGGTACAATTTCTTCCATAAATGTTTGGTAGAATTCACCAGTGAACCCATTTGGGCCTGGTGCTTTCTGTTTTGCAAGATTATTAATATTAATTCAATTTCTTTACTAAATATAAGCCTAGTCAGTCTATTCTTGTGTGAGTTTTGGCAGACTGTCTTTCAAGGAATTGGTCCACTTCACCTAGATTAAAAAAATTGGGGGTATAGAGTTGTTCAAAACATTTTTTATTATTCTTATTATTCTTTTAATGTCCATAAGATCTGCAGCGATGTCTTTTCATTCATTTTTGAAATTAGTAATTTGTGTCCTTTCTCTTCTCTTAGTTTTATTTATTTTTTCAAAGAACCAGCTTTTGCTTTCATTGATTTTTCTGTGTGTATTCTCTGTTTTCAACTTATTTGTTTTGTGCTCTAATTTTTATTTTCTGTTTTCTGCTCTATTTTTTTTTCTTCTGCTGACTTTAGATTTAATTTTCTTTTTTTTCTAGTTCTCTAAGGTGGAAGCATAAATTATTGATTTTAGATCATCTTTCCTAATACTTCAATTGATGCTATAAATTTCCCTTTAAGCATTATTTTCACTATATTCCAATAAATTCTAATAAGTTGTATTTTTATTTTCATTTAGTTAAAATATTTTTAAATTTCTCTTAAGGTTTCTTCCTTGACCCACGTTTTCTTTAAAAATGTGCTGTTTAATCTCCCAGATTTTTCAGCTATTCTTCTATTGTTAATTTCTAGGGTAATTCCATTATAGGCTGAGAGCAGACATTGTGTGATTTCTATTCTTCTAATTTGTTAAGGTGTGTTTTATGGACCGGAATGTGATCTATCATGGTGAATTTTCCCTGTGAACTAGAGAAGAATGTTTATTCTGCTCTTCTTGGATGAAGTATTCTATAGGTGCCATTTATATTTAGTTATTTGATGGTGCTATGGAATTCAATTATGTCCTCACTACTTTTTTGCCTGCTGGATCTGTCCATTACTGATAGATGGTACTGAAATCTTCAACTATAGTTTCTCCTTGCTATTATACCAGTTTTGCCTCATGTATTTTGATGCTCTTTTGTTAGGTGCATACATATGAAAGATTGTTATGTCTTCTTAGAATGTTGGTCTTTTATGGTTATCTAATATCCTTCTTTATCCCTGATAATTTTTTTTGTTTTGACATGAGCTTTCTTTGATTCATGTTAGCATGATATATCTTTCTCCATCCTTTACTTTTAATCTATATGTGTCTTTGTATCTAAAGTGGGTTTTTTTGTATGTAACATAGAGTTGGGTCTTTTGATCCACTCTGACAATCTTTGTCTTAATTGCTGCATTTAGACCATTATCATTAAACGTGATTATTGATATCATTTGATTAATAACTACCATATTTTTAACTTTTCTATTTGTCACCCTTGTTCTTTGTTCCTCTTTTTTTCTTCCATTCTTTTCCTGTCCTTTGTGGCTTTAAGTGAGCATTCTGTGTGATTCTATTTTTCTCCTTTCTTAGCATATCAATTATTACTTTTTTTACTTTTTTAAGTCAGTGTTCTAGAATTTTCAGTATATATTACAACCTATCCAAGTTTACTTGAAATAACTATAAGCTTCACGAGTAGTGCAAAGTAATTACACATTATAGATATTGTTGCTATTATGAACAAACTTACCTGTTCAATCAATTATGAATAAGAAATTAAATTTTTTACTTTAACTTATTCTTTCTCGAATACTCTTTATATAGATTGAGTTTCTGGCATATTATGTTCCTTTTCTATGAAAATACTTTGATAATTTCATTGGGTACAGAATTCTAGGTTAGTGTTTGTATTTTCCTCTTGACTCTACATGTTTCACTTTACCCTATTCTTGTTTCCATGATTTCTGACAAGAAGTTTGATGTCATTCTTATCCTTGCTCTTCCATAGATCAGGTGTTTCTGGCTTTTTTCAAGACTTTTTCTTTATCTTTGATTTTATGCAATTTAAGTACGGTATACCTAGATGCAGATTTTTTTACATTTATTCTGCTTAATGTTCTCTGATCTTACTGGATCTGTGGTTTAGTGTCTATGACATTAATTTGAGGAAATTCTCAGGCTTTATTGCTTCAAAAATTTTGTTGTTTCTTTTATTCTTTTCCTCTGGTATTTCCATTATGCCTATGCTAACCCTTTGTAGTTATCCCATAGTTCTTGGATATTGTTACTTTTTTTTCTCAGCCTTTTATCTCTGCTTTTTAGTTCTGGAATATCTATTGATCTACCTTCAAGCTCACTGATTCTTCCCCCAGCTGTGTCAGTCTGCTAATGAGACCATCAAAGGCAGTCGTTATTTCTGTTACAGCATTTTCTATGTCTACAATTCTTTTTTCCTCTTTCTTAGAATTAACATCTCTCTGCTTATATTACCCATCTGTTCTTGCACGTTGTGTGCTTTTTCCTTTAGAGCCCTTAGCATATTAATTATAGTTGTTTTAAATTCCTGATCTGATCACTTCAACATCTCTGCCATATCCGAGTCTCATTCTGATACTTGCTCTGTCTCTTTAAACTGTGATTTTTGCCTTTTAGTATGCCTTGTAATTTTTTGTTGTTGAAAGCTAGACATGATGTACTTATAAAAGGAACTGTGATAAATAAGCTTTTGGTGATATGGGTAGCGTGGAAGTATGGAGAGGAAGCATTCTTTAACCCAGGGGTCCCCAACCCCCCAGGCCATGGACTGGTCCATTGCTTGTTAGGAACCCAGCTTCACATCAGGAGGTGCTGCTGCTCCCCAGTGCTAGCATCACCGCTTCAGCTCCACCTCAGATCACTGGGCATTAGATTCTCATAGGAGCACCGGTCCCTGGTGTCAAAAAGGTTGGGGACTGCTGCTTTAGCCCTATAATTAGGTCTCAGTCTTTTAGTGAATCTGAGACCCTGGACTGTGACCTTCATAAATGTTTTTTATTCCCACTTCCCACCTTAGATGGGACAGGATGACTGGAGGGGTTGGAGTTAGATATTTCCCTTCTGTCGAGTTAGTTAGGCTCTGGTAAAATAGTTTCTCTCAAGGGCAGGCTTTGTTAAAAACAGAGTGCTCTGGCATCTTTGAGCATTGCTGCTTTTCCTCTTCTTGCTGGAATCATGAGATTTTTTTCCCCTCATCTTCACAGTGAGAAGTTTGTAGGACTCCTGGAGGTAAAGCTCACAAAGCTGTTGGCGGGGAGGGGGTGCTACCCTGGAGTTTATCAGTTTCAGATTTGTCAATACTGAACTTCCAGCAAATTTTCAATTACAGTTTAGCTTTTCCTGTCCTAGTACTGGTTGCCACAAAGGTTCTGTTTGTAGGTTTGTGCTCCAATAAGTTGTGATTCTCTGTATCTACTTGTCTCTCCAGTTTTGGGGACAGTAGTTTGCCCTGTGGCCTCAATTCTCTGAGAGATCTAAAGAGAGTTGTTAATTTTTGGTTTATTCAGCTTTTTACTTGTGAGAATGAAGTGATGACTTCCAAACTCCTTACATGCTAGACTGGAAACCAGAAGTCCAGTCTAGCATATTTTGAAATGACTCGGAGAATTGAAGCATATTGCATTGTAAGCGAGAGTCCTTGTGAATCAATCTAACAATCTTCTCGTGCATTTTTGTATTCTTTGACACTATCTTCTTTCATAGTTTATGCATTTTTTAAACTTTTGATTTAAAAATTAGTATACTTCCCTGTGAACTACCCTTGATTAGAATGTTACTACTCGTTACCTTTACTAGAAATACTACCCCCTATGTGATGTGACAAAGTGTGGATTTATACCAGCTTGTCCTCCATCTCTGTCTTTGCATCCTTTCCCCAGCTTCAGTGTGGTCATCACCTTGGGTTAGAAGCTCTTCTGCCAGGCTATGTGCTGCAGAATGGTAAAGTAAAGACAAAATGAACATCATTACACATTCAGCTTTATTACACAAGCAGGAAATTAAAAGCAACATTTCCATCACATTTCCTCAATAATCAATGCCGTGGAGTTTCAATAATGAAAGAGGGAGAGTAACACATTGTGATATAGTGTGTTTTCAGGGAATTAGGATATTGCCTGAAAATAAATATGGCTGAACATTCTCTCACTGTTAAGTTTATGCTGGGCCCCCTTATGTCTCATGTGTCATAATTCTCTACAGCCGGTTCCTTAGAGAAAGGCTCCATTCTTTTCCCATCCTTTCTTAGACTCTCCTCACATTTTCATAGGCCCATAATCTTGCTAATGCATACCCGTGGCAGGGAGCAAGTGTCATCTCAGTACATCTTGTGCCACACTGCACCCATCAATCCACCGTGCACGGGGAAAAGACTACAGCCCTACCACCTCCTTACTAGGGTTTTGTGCATGCTGCTTAATTTCACTGCGTTTGTCAAGCCGTTCTTTATCGGAGAGTCTAACAGCCTTTGAGTGCCCGGTGCTCTATCACTTATGTAGGGTTATATTGATCTTTCTGGTGTGTGCTCTAAAGTGGCTGGCATCAAAAGCCAGTGAGGCAGCCAGTTTGAGCAATATGGGTCATTTACAAACTTCAGGATGAAGTGCCGCAGGATGCCAGGGAAAACGTTTTTGTTTTTCCAGAGGGAACCATAGTTCATGAAATGTGGTTAACATACAATATTTGTATACCCTTAAAATCATTTTATAACCACACTGAGTGCCTCTAAACATTAAATATATTTTATAAGTAGTTGGTTAACTAGCTGTTGTGTGCTTTAAATAGTAAATAAAATGGAAAGGCACTAAACAGTGACTATATTTCATAGAGTAAGATGCTTTTTCAGCCACTCAATAATTCTCAATGTTAAGAAAAATTGATTTTCTAACTGCTGAGTGCCTCTAAAAATTAGCATCTTATCTTCCTACAGGGGATGCTTTTCAGTTAGCCTCTTTTCTTCCAGCTTTCAACTTAATGATCTCTAAGGTTCTCGTCTTGCTAAAAAATTCTGTAGGTTCTATTGGGCTATAGTTTCACTTGGGCATATATATTCACTTCAAAATTAGGAGTTCTTCACTCACTAACTGCTCCTTTTTTGCCATCACCTCTCTCTCCCCTCAAGAGCAGGACTGTATGGAGAGACCTATGACAATGACATAGAACTTAAGAGTACTAATTTCCAAGCATCTTCAAGTAGCATGTCTGTACAATGGATGCATTTTGCATTTGTGAAAGCCTAATAAAGGAAAAGAATTTTCTAAAAGTTGGTAATAGTGATATATCTTCATGGCAAATTAAATCTTCCCAGTTCTTTATAAACTCTGGCCTTTAAGAAACTCATATTGCCAATGCTAAGACCTTCCAAACAGATATAAAAACATCTCATAGCACCACAAAACTTGAAAGCTAAAATAATCAGACACTTCACAGTTATAGGTAACAGCATTAAAGAAGACTCAACTCTTAGTTCTGTCTAAACCACAACCAGCTGGGTGACCCTTGGGATGTCACAGAGTCTCCCTGAGTAATCTGTGGTAACCTTGTCAATGTAACCTCATCAGGAAAATGAATGGTTTGAGCGAGACTGTAGAATCTAGCTGCTGGGTAATCTGCTTGAGCCCCTTTAAAATTGAATAATTTAAATTCCCCTCTGCCCTCTCATTACATTCTGAAGAACAGTGTGTTTCCAGTGTGCTCACCATTTCCACAGCACTAGGTGACTGGCATGCTGGAGCCTGAGGAAGAGCAGATAAGCATCAAGCTTCCTGGGACATGCACTTACACTTAGGAAGAATGCAACAAGTGAATAAATTTTTCTTAGATACACCCTCAAAATTCCCACTAATGTATCTGGTAACTATATGGGATCAGATGATGACAAGTTGCTGATTTGGGGCCAATCCCAGTGATGAGCTAGCACTTAGTTATCCATGTTGGACTGATGTGTTCTCCTGTTTCTTAGGCTTGAACAAAGATGAGGCCAAGAACAAAACACTCCCAGGAGACTGTAAGCTCTTTGGGGTGAGTGTGTTGTCTGAGTCACCATTTTTATCCCTAGCATTTCTAGTCAGTAGTATTTGCTCAGTAAACATCTGTGGAACTAAACTGAATGCCCTAAGCAAATGCAACCTACCAGACAGAAATGTAAAATGTCTAAAATGGAAAATCCCAGAAGACTCAAGGTATTGCTCAATATAAGCCCTTTATTCAATAGTTTTACAGGAGAAACATCATGAAAATCATAATGGTCCAAAAAAGGAATCATTTTGCTGATTGGATTTAACCCATAAACTGCTTTTCAAGCTGAAAAGCATAGTAAGGTCTCACCCCTCCTCCCAAATTCATACATCCCAAAATACAGAAGAGAAAATGGAGAACAGAGATCTGTAAGTTATAGAGTTTTACCTTATGCTGAAGTAAGCCATAGTAATTAACATTAATTGATGGCATACTATGTGCCAGCTACTGTTCTAAGAGACCTGTATGTATTACCTAATTTAAATCTCAGTCCAGGCCTATTATGCACACATTATTAATAGCATTTTATAAATAAGGGGAAAAAGCACCGATATTTTGGAAGAACCTCAAAGTCTGGGCAATTCAAAAGACAGACCACTGAATCTATAGCAGTAGTCATTGTAGATAGCTCAGTATTTAAAATCTGAACTTTTAGTGAAAAATCATTATTTAAATAAAATTATTCTCCAATTAATGTAAAACTCCATGATGTGAAAAATTATCATAGAAAAGAATATGAAACACAGGAAATGAATCAGCAAACCAGAAGTCGAAATTGATGTGGCCAGGGAAAAAAACGATTACCATACCCACAACTGGAGAAAGATTTTATCTGTCTCATTGGGTATGATCTCAATGAGTACAATCCCAGTGAACAGAACATGTATATATTCATATCTTTCGATGCATTAGAAAAAGAGGCCAGCAGTTATATATATATATACGAAAGGGCATATTTTTTCTGTGGCTGGCCCTAGGCAAAATTGTTAACTATAATGGAGTAAATGGGCTGATGTTTCAGATCTGGGTACTAGTTGTGATTCTGTTACCAACTGGTCACATGACCTTGGACAAGGTCACTAAATCTAAGTCTCAGTTTCTCTCAGATAGTAAATGAAGGACATGAGCTAAATAAACTCAAAGTCCCCTTCTAACTTGAAAGGAGTCCAGGTCTTGGTTGGTTTATATTGATGTCCTCTTGGACCTTAACTCTGTATTTCCTGAGTCTGTTTTCTGACGTATCTCTGACCCAATGCATCTGTTCTTTCTTTACAGTCTCCTCATAGTTCTCTTTTTTTCTTATGAAACGTGTATTAGGGTATCAGCTGGTAACAAATATGGCACATTCAAACAAAGATAACCCAAGAAGATTTAGTAAAAGAACTAGGAACAAAGGTGTAGAGAAGATGTATAAAAGACACAGTAAATCCCTTGGATAAGAGAGTAGTTAGGATCCAGAAGGAGAGAGATGTGTAGACAGGGCCACGTTGAGAAAAGCTGTGACTTTGGAATCAAGGGAATATATAACCAAAATTCGTACTTCTTTCCTCTGATATCCTACTGGAGCTCCACATAGGATTATCCCAACTGGACACAAGAAGAAAGAAAGCTCGTTGATTTAGTTCACATAGCTTTAACGCACAGGACACAAAACGGGGCAGAGGGTAGAAAACAGATCTGGAGGGCATGTGGAAGATATCCCGCAGACTCATCCTTAAGGAAGGCTCTGCTATTGATCCATCTATTATATTTCAGGGTAAATTATGTCAATGTTTTGAAGATGTCACATATACCATTTTTGCTTTCTTAATAATAGATAATGCACATACATTAATGAGTAAATAAAAGAAGCAAACAACTTCAAAGAGAATAAAAGCTTTCTTCGCTTTTAAAAAGTAAGTTTTCCTTTCACACCTCACCCCTAATATCCAGCCTGTCCTTCTCACTCCCACACCTCTTCGACTCTCGTCACATTTAGTGCCTTTCTGAAAAGTAGAAAAATCCCCTGGGAGAACCTCCAGGGCAGTGCAGTCCCAGGTCAGGCATGGAATTTACGTAGCAACCCTGGCAGGAGTTCACTTACTCCCCTATAGCCAACACGTGTGCAGCTCACAACCTGCACTGTGTCCATGACGATCCTGACAGAGGCCCATGTCCCCATCCTGAAGAACCACCACGGCTAACTAGTATATTTTAATTCTTCCTTTTAATTGTGGAATGCAAACTCATATTAAGATTTGGGGAAAACAGGTAAGTAAAGAAGAAGAGAGGTCTAAACATGACTTTTGAGCCATCTACTCATTTTTAGCTAGTGGTGTCTACTTTGCCCTTGTAAAGGACCAACCCTGATTATTATTCAGTGTTTAGTCAGTGTGTCAGCTACTGATCTAGATTCTGGGAATAAATTAGTGGGAAAGGTCTCTACAAACATTGTTCACCAGTGAGACTAACGAATATAGTGAAGCACTGATGAGTGCTATGGAGAAGTATAAAGTAGGCTAAGTGCTTTGGGGTGGAGGAGGGAAATGTGGTTATAATAGCTGATTATGGAAGGTATAATAGAAATTATATTTATCACAAAACTGAAGGAGGTGAAGGGCCAAGTCATGCAAGTATTTGGGGGAAAGTATGAAATACAAAAGTTAGAAAGTATGTACTAAATAGTCCAGTAGTCGTAATATCTGCTTTCTTGTTATCTTTATAAACAGTTCTTTGGGAAATAATGTTGCTTTAGACCCTGTCCAAAGATTATTTTGCCCCCTTTTTTTTTTTTTGCATTTTATTTTATTATAAGTTTTAAGTATACAGTACATTGGTTAGACATTTATATAGTTTATGAAGCGATCCCTCTAATTACTCTATCACCCATTTGTCTCTACACATAGCCATTACCTTACTGCCAACTATACCCCTG